ATTATATACATATATGAAAAGTAAAATCTATATAAATTATGGGTGCATTTACTCCAAATAAAACGAATTTTTTTTTTTTGGTTTTTGGGATTTCTCTCCGGACATTTATAAAAAATTATATTACTGTTATTCAAATGAAACGACTACAATTAAACAATTAATTCTAATACAAGGCTATATACAAAGTCACATGAACTTAAGGTAGTTAAGAAGTCTTCGAAAACTCTTTGGACAACTTCTGTTCGCTTTCGAATTCGAAAATCGAATTGAAATTCCGTTATTATGGCAGCTATATAAACGTATTTACATAAACCACTTCTCGATAATCTCACCAGCTGGCCAACTACTATTATGGCCACAACTATATGCTTACGGTCTAAGAAGAAGAAAAAAGAGTCTGTATAAGTACGTCCGTTCAATGATAATGATATGCGGCGTCTATATATACTTGAAGCATTTCTGCTTGTCATGCGGAATACGCGTCTTAAATAGTATTGAGTCGGCCCGATATTGGGTGTTCAGCAGCGGCGTATAGCCAAAGACCTGGCTAAAGAAGTTGATGCATTTGTGGCGCTCCTGAAAGTGGGTGTCATCCTCGCTCAGGGACGCTGCGCAGCCGGGACAGCGGAATGTCCAGCGTGAGGTCACTTTAACAGGCGGTCGTCGCGTCAAATGGGAGACAAGAAAATTCATAGCGATATCCTCACAGTTCATGTACTCGTCCACCTTGTCGCGTATGGCCTGCGGCAGCTGATACGTGTACAGGAACATGTAATACTTGTGTATGAACGCAGCGCCAGTGAGCACCATGCTCAGCTCGCAGCTGTAGTTGGAGTTGTAGTGCCACAGGTTGTTGCTGCTCAGGTCCCAGGCATGATAGCGACCCGGGAAGCCGACCACCCGATCGCGATGCTCGCGCCAGACACGAAAGCCGAAGAGAATCTCATCGTGCCGCAAGTGAGCATCGTCATCCACTGATAGCACCGCCTCCGTCTCGATAACATCGAAGGGCAGAAAGCGATTATTGAGCGAATTGCGTGGCGCACGCACCACAGACACGGGCACACCAATGTCGGGCCAACGCAGATCGTCCAACGGCGGCTTGGGTGAGTTCCAAACGACAACGACTTTATGTAGATAGGGCAGACCGTAGAGGCGACCCAGTGACTCCATTAGCACCTGTTCCCGCTCGTACGTGAGTATGACAATGGTGAATTGCTCGCGCGGATAGTTGCCACCGAGCGCTTCACTGAACTCCTTGCCAGCGCCACCAATGCCCTTGCCAATGGGCCGAAAGCCCGTGTGGGAGCCTATGAACTTTGCCTCCGACGGCAAGGCCGGATCGAAGGGTAATTGGGGGTAAAGGAAAAATGGATCCATCCAATCGTTCCATGCCTCCTTCGATTGTATGCGGAGTATTGTATAGTTGCGACGAAACGATGGGCTTGGATAGGGCGGCTCAATCGGTCCCAACGACTCCTCTGGCTCCGTATCCATTCCAACAGGTGGCTCCGATTTCAGGGGAATAAACGTGCTGTTGAAAACGCTCTGAGCGACAACAGGTGGCACCGGACGTGGCGGTATACCCAGTCGATCACGCATGCTGGCTATGACCGTGTCCACTGTGGCCTGCACCGAGCTAAGATATCGCTCCCAGATGAGACGTCCTTGGCGACGCAACAGCAGCAAATCTGAGTCCTGCACGGCGCGGAGCAGGAAATGGAGCTCCGTAATCCGAGCTTTCGGCAGCAGCAGGGCAGTGCGACGCCAGTCAATGGTCTCGGCGTATGGCAGACGCAATTCATCAGCGCCAAGGATTACGGGCACAGCGCCCGAACGCAGCGCTTCATAGAGACGTGCCAACATCAGCGTCGAGCTGACCCGTTGGCCCAATGGTGGCAGTATGAGCACGTAGGTTGAGTCCTTGAGCAGTTGCTTGCGAGAGCTGTCGGAGCCACAGAGAGTCCAGTCGCCCAAGGAGCCCGCCTCCTGCTGCTCTGTGGCGGGCACACATTGGAATTGCAGCAAAAACTGATCCTGCGTCGAAGAACGCGACATGTCCTTCAGGTGCTCCATGATGAAGTCGTCTAGGGGCTGAAGAGCCGCCTGTGAGGGTCGCAGCTCACCCTGGAAGGTGAGCAAGTATTTGCGACGTGCCGGCACCATGCTGGCGCACTCCTGCCAAACATCGCCACCCGGCGGACCCAGAATGGGGGGCACAATCAAATCGTAATTGGGCCGAAATTGATCTCGTTCAAACGTGCTCTGCACTATAATCGCACGCATCGTGTTTTGCTGCAGCAGCGGATTAGTCCTAGCAGAATTCAAATCGCGACGCGCCAGATTCAACAGAACATGATTCCTTCCGTCGCCGCCCCAATAGGGCAACTGATACAGCTTTCCCAAATCTATGGGCGAGCTGTTGGCAGCCATCGAATTGGACAGAATGTGAGGGTGTTGTGCCACCTCCTCCTGGGCGGCGTATCGATTGTTGCGCAGCAAATCCTCCTCGAGGAGAGCCTCTCCCACAAGCACAAGGTAGATGCAAGCCTGTTTGGGATCTCGCACAATGTGCGCATTGTAGCCCAAAGTTTGTTTTATGGTCGTCTTTAGGAATCCATCGATATCGTAGCCCGAGCGCTGTACGTTGTAGACGTCCGGATCGTATAGATAGACGGGGAAGCCGGACGTGAGACTACAACGTGAGTGATCGAAGCAATTGTGCATCTCGCAGGCAGCTGCAACTCCATCGCTAATGCCATTCATTCTGCGAGGCAGCGAATTGGGAGTCAAAGTGCGAGGAAGCGCCAATTCCGGAGTGTTGCGCTGTACGGCTTCCCGCTGTGCCACTTGTGCCTGCTCCACAGAGATCTTTAGCCGCTCGAGTTCTGTTTGTTCGCGCAACAGCTCCTGCTTGAGTTCCTCAAGCTTTTGATTGTACTGACTGATGTCCGACTGCAGCTTTTGACGACGAGATTCCAACTCACGTAGCTCCACAGAGACGGTGCTCTGAAATGAATTGAAAATATTTATTCACTTCTCTATGGCCGCTTTGCACTCACCTTAATTCTCAGCATTTCTTCTATGCGCATCTTTAGATCACTGGCTCGCATCGCACTGAAGTCCTCATAGGCATCCAGCAGAGGTCGGGAGCGATGCACATCTGTTGGGGGCGCATCCAACTCGGCCTGGCCAGACAATGATTAGTTATTTGCATTTAATATTATATAATTTCTACTCACATTTAGCAATTTGCGGTGCGCCAGCAGGGGTAGCAGTATTAGGAGTAGCAGTATTAGTATCGTTAGCTTATATGAGCGGCATTGTCGCATCCACGCCGTACTCATGTTGTATCTCAGATGCACGGATGCTGGCGCTGTTGTGGATTTGATTTTATCACTTGAGTCCTGTGTTAAGCTTTGATAAGCAGTGCTGCCACTTGTATTGTCCACGTCAAAGGCGAGGGACATGTTGCAGCCTTGCTTCAAGTCTACAATTATTAAGTTTTTCTACTTTTACCACACATTGAACAACAATACATGATTTCTTAAAAGTACTGAATAAATATATCGACGTCATCGATAATTTTAAGCTTGCGATATATTATTTGAGCTGCCAGACCGAGAAACCACTAAATGACCCGTACAGCTGATTTTGTTTGTTTACTCATGCTGCGTCAATATATTCATAGTATTGAGTTGTCAGACCATAAAACCGCTGCTGCAACACAGCTGACTTTGTTTACATTTCATTATTATTGTTTTAGAAAACAGCCATGTTTATTTTTAAAAAATATGAGCCGGTAAAATTTGTTGTTTAATTCTATTTTATGTTAGGTGCATTTAAATAAAATAAAATCTAGTTACAAATTTTAAAACATGGGTTTATAAAAATATGTGAAAATAAGGAATTAGGAGTATGGATATTTAGCAATTAGAATTCCTATTGTAAGCTATGGCCGTGTAATGCAACAAGTATTATACATAGTTGAACCGTACACCAATACATACACACCAATACATGGACATGCACATACATCATCGCAAGTCAAATCCAAGCTTTTAAATCAATAGGTCTGCGTACTAGAGTTGAGGAAACCATCGATGGAAAAAATAATCGATTATATCGATGGTTGCAGCGATGGTTTCCCAGCTCAACTGCGTACGTTAGCCCAGCTTGTAATCGCAGTCTTTAACTTGCTGCCTATGCGTATGCACGTGTGAGTGGGTGTGTGTGAGTGTATGTGCGTGAGTGGCTGTTTGTTTATTTGCGCGTAGTTTCTTTCGCATTTGACCGGCAGTTGATCTGTGTGGCAAAGTGTTAAAGTGTTAAACTAATTAAATGCGTTGCGATCACACTTAATTAGACCAATAATGAAATTATCCATAACTTAATTAAACTTGTAACGGAACTTGAAAAATTACATTGCACACAACTTGACGAATTCAAAAGTTTTAGAAAGCACCCGAGCAATAAAAGTGAAAATGGGTAAAGTATCATGGCAAATATTAATATTTTATATTCAAACGTCGTTAGCTAGACCTGTTTCAATTGTTTATTTTCGTCTTATTTTGCTTTCAATAAATATTTAACAAATAAACAAATAAAAACTCACATACATATAATCCGTATTTAATTTACTAATCTATAATCAAGGTATTTCAATATACATATATACACATAGATATTTTTTTTTAATACGTTTTAAGTTATATTTACATATTTGCATATTTATGAATTTCATTTTCTTTTAGAACAATGACGTTATATAATTGTGAATAAATGTTTTGCAAATTATGTGAAAGGCTCGTGCAGAAGTTTTATTCGTGATTAATGACTGCGTAAAATTGTAATTACGTATATTTATTATTGCTTTATAGTTCCAGTATTAAACTTGATTTCTTCTTGATTCTTTACGTTTTTTTTTATTTAATTACTCTATACAATGAATACAAAATTAAGAATAATAAATCAGGTGCATCTTCAAATGACAAATCAAATTCAAGTAAACGACTTTGCAGTGAACAAGTTCATTTAAACGGAATGAAATGAAAGCCTGCTTATTCCTGGTAGTTCCTTTAATTTGCTGTCCAAAGCAGTTCAGACTTGTTTTTTTATTATTTGTATTGTTGTTGTTGTTGTTGTATATGTTTCGATTGTTATTTTAGATTTCTTTGTTGTTGACCTCCCCCCACACGATGAACACACTTTGGGATTTGGAGCGAACAGCTTATCGTCTGTGTGTGCATGTGTATGCTCATGTCTGTGTGTGTGTGGGGCCTTATTAGGGGCACATTCAATGCATTAAGAACTGTCGCTCCGACAGCGGCTCAGCAGGCTGTGTGCGTGTGCATGTATGTCTCTCTCTCTCTGTGTGTGTGTGTGGTTGTCGTGCGTGAGCTTCCCGTCCATGCGCCTAAACCTAGTCAGCACCGGTAAAGCGGGAACGCTGAGGGCGACCTTTATGTAGCTGCACTGCGTCCCACAATTACCTTGCTTAATGACATCCGTTGAGCGTTTCGGCGGATTTGTGTGACTAACTCATTATAGAAGCCGCAAGAAACTGGCTCACGTCGGGTGCGGTTACAACGACTACGGCTGCGGCTACGGCTATGGCTACGGACATTTGTGATCCCGTAGCCAGTCAGTCAATGACTCAATGAGTCAATCAAACAGCTGACCATCATCCACCATCTACTGGGCGCACAACTTATTTAAATTCAGTTCGCATTGACCAATCATACGCTGCAGTTCAGTAGAACAATGCATTTGACGATAAACCTAAAGTGTCGGAAATTTGAAATCTGGGGTAAGATTGTTGTTGTTGTTGTTGTTGTTGCTGTTGTTGTTTTAATTAACTTAGAGCCCTCAAAAGAAAAAAGTTGGCATGCAAATGTCTGCTGCTTGTGGCACGCATTTTAGAACGTATGCAAATTTGCTGTCCATGTTTGGCATTTTAAGCATTTACTCCAGCGACGACTGTCTTTAAAAAGGAGCTGCAAAGGCCGCTGGAGTTGCAGTTAGTTGGCAGAAGTTGCAGCTTTAAGAAGCTCGAAGAGCTGAAAAAATGTGTAAGTGTGCAGTGGATAAGTGAATGCTCTAAAATATAAAACTAGAGTATATAATATACACACAAGTCAATCTCAAATTAATGAGAAAAAGATAAAATAACCAATAATAAATAATTAACTTTTGCCAATTTAAAATTATCTTTTATATATAATACAGAAGTCAATTTAAAATTAATGAGTTAGAAAAAGGAAAGTAAATAATTAGCTTTTCTCAATTTAAAATTATCCGTTAAATAGTGCCACACTTTGCACTCCCATATCGGCGCCATATTTTCAAATAATTAACTGTCAAATTGGTGCGCGCTTTCCAGCGCAGCTTTTTGCTCTAATAGTTTTGTGCTTTTTTGTCTGCCAGCCGATAAGCATATTGGAGAAGATAAAAATAAAAGGAGTGCACGCCGCTGCCGTCGTGAGCGTGAGCAGTGAGCCTCAGTGTGCTTTTGGCGGGCGAGCGAGCGAGAGGGCAGCAACAACAAAGCTCGCGTATATCACATCATCAGCATATAACAGTTGTACTATTATGGGCTTGAAGAGAATATTTAAATGTTTGTTTTGAGCTAATTTAATGTTGTTCTTATGCTGCACGTGCTTCGAAATGTCTTTAACCAAATGCGCCACATTCTTTTTGTGCAGTTATTAAAAAAGAAAAAAAAAGCAAAAAACGAAATGTGTGCAAGAGCGTGAATGCGAGCGGGTGCATGAGTGAGTGAGTGTGTGTGTGTGTACGTGAAAGAGTGAGAGAGCCTAACAGCTGTTCTCTGTCTGCACCTGTTGAAATGTTGTAAAGAGCTTAGAACGGCTTAGCTTTGATGCGCTCTTTAGAATTTGCATTGTTTGCAACATTTTGTTTGGCTTTTGTTAAGCATACGCGACATGGACACGCACATTCAATGCATTCAGCTACATTATCATAAGACTTGACAATTAATATTGGATTCCATTTCATTTCCGTTACGTTTCGCACTCTGATTTTCAACATAACAAATGCAAATGTGAGTATATTTCACAGAATAAGAAATGAAGAATAAAACAAAGCTAAATAGTTTCTTTTATTGCATTTATTTGAATTAAGTTGACATTGGCATTGACAGAAACTCGCTACCAAGTTGGTTTCACATATATTCCACATATAATTATGTATGTGGAAAATTTGGTCGATTCGGATATATCTTATCAATAATGAGAATAAAAGTCGATGACATACATAGACTGCTTATCTTCTATTTGCTGTTGTTGCACTATTTTGTAATGATTAATCGTTTTATTGGTCTGCCTCTTTACTTTCAGCTTTTTCACTGTCCTCACTTTTTCTCGTCTGCTATATTCTGAAATTCACTTTAGCACTCATCATACTAAACAAGGAAATCGAAACATCGCGAGGCATGCTTTATCCACGTGAGTCGGAGACGCGGGAAGTGCGTACGCTCGATGGCATCTGGAACTTTGTGCGCTCGGACGAGACGAATCCGACACAGGGCATACGCGACGGCTGGTTCAAGGATGACCTGAGCAAGAGCATGCCCACCATTCCCATGCCAGTGCCGGCCTCGTACAACGACATCACCACGGAGCAGACGCTGCGCGATCATGTGGGCACCGTTTGGTATGATCGCAAATTTTTTGTGCCACGCTCCTGGGGACAGGATCAACGGGTTTGGCTGCGCTTCGGCAGTGTGCACTACGAGGCCTATGTGGTAGGTCAATACTCTATATAATAATACTATATATGTATATGTATATCTATATTTCTTTAGTGGATCAATGGACGCTCGGCTGTTAAGCATGAGATGGGGCACTTGCCCTTCGAGACGGAGGTCACGCACTTGCTCAAGTATGGCGCAGAGAATCGCATTACCGTTATGTGCGACAATGCATTGATCCAGACGACGGTGCCGCAGGGCAAAATCTCGGAGGTGGCCAACGACGAAGGCGTCACTATCATACAGAGCTATACATTTGATTTCTTCAATTACGCGGGCATCCATCGATCCGTGCATCTGTATACGACGCCTAAAACGTTCATTGAGGAGGTGGAGGTCAAAACGAATCTGTCACAGAATAATAGCGGTAAGAATAAAATAGTGTTAGAATTAATTAGGTTTATCTCTTTGATGGCTCCTATCAAATTGTGATATATATTCTAGAATATATCTTTATATAGATAACAAAATCCCTGTCATTCCAGTGGGCACCGTGGATTACAGCATCACAGTGAATGGTACAGCGGCCAACGAGGCGGAGAATACGCTCCTCGCACGGCTGCAGATCTACAATCGAGAGGGCGTGCAAGTTGCCAATGTGACGTCGGACAGCAAGCTGGTGGGCTCGTTGCAAGTGGATAATGTGAAGCCCTGGTGGCCATATCTTATGCATTCGGATCCAGGCTATCTATACGAGCTGGAGATTCGACTGTATGCAGCCAAGGAGCAGCTGTTGGATGTCTATCGTCTGAAAGTGGGCATCCGTACGCTAAGCTGGACGAATACGACGTTTCTGATCAATGGCAAGCCGATCTATTTCCGTGGTTTTGGGCGGCACGAGGATGCGGATGTGCGTGGCAGGGGTCTGGATAATGCGTTGATGGCGCGTGACTTCAATCTGCTTAAGTGGATTGGCGCCAATGCCTATCGCACCTCACATTATCCTTACTCGGAGGAGTCCATGCAGTTCGCCGATCAGCATGGCATCATGATTATCGACGAATGCCCCAGCGTCGATACAGAGTAAATGATATGAGAATTAGTCTGGAATACATAATGATTATTAATTATATGGACTTCTTCTTCTACAGGAACTTCAATCAAGTCCTGCTGGACCGGCATAAGTCCTCGCTGGAGCAGCTGGTGCATCGCGATCGCAATCATCCCAGCGTCGTGATGTGGTCCATTGCCAATGAGCCGCGCACAGGTCAAGTGAATGCCGACACATATTTTCAGTGAGTGAATGAGCATTTATTTGATCTATACATCTGTAGCCTCTGCATCTTCGATAGATTTGTGGCCAACTACACACGCTCCTTGGATAGTACGAGACCCATAACGGCTGCCATTGCAGTGCCCTCGAATGACGACAAAGCGGTAAGCAGGCTACGCATACTGATTGAATTACATCCGCTTAATGCCATTGTCATAAGCAGGGCCGCCATTTAGACATAATTAGCTTTAATCGCTACAACGCGTGGTACAGCAACACGGGTCGCTTGGATATGGTCACACAGCGTGTGATAAGTGAAGCAACCGGATGGAATAAGAAGTATGACAAGCCGGTTCTTATGTCGGAATATGGAGCCGACACGCTGGAAGGTCTCCATCTGGTAATATAGAGAAGAGATTCATTTGTGGAATTTATAGACTCAATTTATTTCCTTACAGCAACCGGCCTTTGTTTGGTCCGAGGAATTCCAAACTGAAGTATTTTCACGGCACTTCAAAGCCTTTGATGCTTTGCGGCGTCAAAAATGGTTTATTGGCGAGTTCGTGTGGAACTTTGCCGACTTTAAGACGGCGCAAAGTTAGTATCAAAGTTCGAAGAGTCATAGATTACCATATTAAATGTGCGAATTTTCTTTCCAGCTTACACGCGGGTCGGTGGCAATAAGAAAGGCGTCTTTACGCGCGCACGGCAGCCAAAGGCGGCCGCTCACCTGCTGCGCCAGCGATACTTTGCTCTGGGGCGTGAGGTGGATCAGTGTAATGTGCCAAATGATTTGTTCACCTACATTGCTGATGTGGGCGGGTCCAATGTGAAGCATGATTCCGCAGATTTATGAGTACATCATCGACGACTGTAAGACACTTAAGCTGACAAGACAACAAGACAGTACAATATTTTATATACATTCACGTCTACATCTAAGTCCATGCGAAAACCAAGTATTTTAGCTATTTATACTGTTTTTGTAATAATTGTTATGCTGGAACTGAACTTAAGCACATTTCAGTAGCATAAGTCTTATTTCTGTTTTTGTAATAAAGAGTTTTTGATTTTGCCTCAGATTAATTGGTTCAATTGCTTTTATTTACGAATACTTCAAATTTGAAGCTCTAGAACAGCTGATTTTTGTTTACATTAAATCAGTCATATCGATTACTTTCGTTTGTTATCGATACAGCGTATAAAATTAACGAAATGTAAAGTTGTAAATCATCGTTTATAATCGATATAGCAGACACAACCAGCCGCATTTAAAATCGACGAAATATATTGAAATGTGAATCATTGAAGGTATTTTCTTTTTGTTTTGTTTCTACATTCTTTGCTTTTAAATTTGTTGTTATCGTTTTCTTTTTAGGCATTGTCAGCTATTGGAAAGTTTGATATCGCAGCAAAAAGGGCGTTTTGCTCAGGAATGCGAGTGACAAGAAACAGTATTAAAATGCGAACAATAATATGTTTCGCCATAACTTTAATATGTGTGTGCATTTTGGATACAATATTGTCTCACAATGTTGAAGATGAACTAAGTACAACCCATGGATTTGCGCACAAGTGCAGCTTTGAGCAGATTTATTGCTATGACGATGTCCAGCTGCCAAAGCCCACTGTGGGCCTGTTGTATCCTCGCGCATCCGAGACGCGGGAGGTAAACTCTCTGGACGGTGTTTGGGAACTGGTCCGTGGCAATGCCAGTGATCCTCTCCAGGGCATACGTGAAAAGTGGTTTGGTCGTAGTCTCCGCTCCACAGGTCGTGAAATAATCAAAGTACCTGTGCCAGCATCGTATAATGATCTGACCGTGGATCAGGAACTACGCGACCATGTGGGCACAGTTTGGTATGAACGACACTTCTTTGTGCCCAGCAGTTGGAATATGAGTGGCACACGCACCTGGATACGTTTCGGCAGCATCCACTACGCATGCATCGCTTGGATCAATGGTCAGAGGGCTGTTAAGCACAGCTTTGGCCATTTGCCCTTTGAAGTGGAGATCGGAAGATTGGTCAAATATGGCCAGGAGAATCGAATCACAATCATGGTTGACAATCGGCTAAGCAATTCCACTATTCCCCAGGGTGCAGTGATTAATGAGTCTAGTGACAATGGTTCCGTCGCTGTTCAAACCTTCACATTTGACTTTTTCAACTACGCCGGGATACATCGTTCCGTTCAACTTTATACCACGCCGGCGAAATACATCAAGGACATTGAGCTTAAGACGCAGGTGAACAAGCAAATGGGTCGCATCGACTATCGCTTGTGGATTGGCAATGAGCAGGAACAGGATGTGTCCAAGTACATCAACGTCAAACTGCTGGATAGAGATCGCAATGTGGTGACACATCAACTAAATCGGAATTATCACAATGGCACTTTGTTAATACCTAATGTGAAGCCTTGGTGGCCCTATCTAATGCATCCGGAGCCCGGCTATATGTATACGCTGGAATTCCAGTTGATGGCTGAGAATGATCTGTTGCTGGACAGCTATCAGCTACCCGTTGGCATTCGCAGTCTCAACTGGGACAATAACAGCATATACATCAATGGCCAGCCGATCTATTTGCGCGGCTTTGGCAAGCACGAAGATTCCGATGTAAGTTGGCTTGAAGGCACTTGTATCCATGATCTTCAATAATAATTCCCTTTCAGATACGCGGCAAAGGCTTGGACAATGCCTTGCTTACCCGCGACTTTAGCCTGCTTAAGTGGGTGGGAGCTAATGCCTATCGCACCTCCCACTATCCCTACTCGGAGGAATCGATGGAGTTTGCCGATGAGCACGGCATCATGATCATCGATGAGTGCGCCAGTGTGAATACGGATTTGTTCCAGCCAGAGCTGTTGCAGAACCACATGTCCTACTTGGAGCAGCTGATACATCGCGATCGCAATCATGCGTCCGTGATAGCCTGGTCAATAGCCAACGAGCCGCGCACACAGAAGCCAGAAGCCAAGGATTATTTCGGGTGAGTCAATCAGCAATTATTCCATATGCCAATAGTATAAACTATTCTCTTTCGGCAGAAAATTGGCGAATTATACACGAAGCATTGCGCAGGGACGCCCCCTAACGGCTGCTTCGAATGTTGACAAGCCGATCAAGTGCATGATGTCTGCATTTTTGGATATCATTGGCTTCAATCGCTACAATTCCTGGTATCACAATCCCGGTCGCACGGACATGATTATAAATCCAATGTTTGAAGAGGCCTTGAGCTGGCGGCAACTGCACCAAAAGCCGGTCATTGTGTTCGAATATGGCGCTGATACCCTCGAGGGATATCATACAGTGAGAATACAGAGCTAGAATAGCATAGACGAATATTACTTGCTAATTCTCCAATCATTTTTTAACAGCTGCCCACGTTTATTTGGTCGGAGGAATATCAGACGACGATGCTATCAAAGCATTTCCAGGCGTTCGACAAACTGCGCAAGCTCAAATGGTTCATTGGCGAATTTGTCTGGAATTTTGCGGACTTTAAAACTGAGCAGAGTAGGTTCGATTCAAATATTCAATAAATATAGAATAATCATTCTCTCTTTCTGTTGATAGCCTATACGCGGGTCGGTGGCAATAAGAAGGGCGTTTTCACCCGTAACCGGCAGCCGAAATATTCAGCGTATCTGCTGCGACAGAGGTATCACATGCTCGCTTCTAAGCTAAATAATGCCAGCTTGCCGACAGACCTCTTTAATTACATTATTGACTTTGGATTATAAATAATGCTGTTCATGTGCAAAAGGCTTGTCTCCTCTATTTACAGTCCATACAATTAGTTAAATTAATTAAAGCCAAAATGCAAATAATTATATTGCCCATATACCACTTTATGTACATGCTTATTTTTTATTGTTTTAAAGTTCTTTCACGAAAGTATACCATATACTTGTATTTATAAACAAAACGTAAAATTAAATAAATACTGATACTGATAATTTGCTAGGGAATTTTGAGAAATGCTAAATGCTGATTGCGGCTGCTGGCGGGGGAAGCACTCAACGACATCCCTGATAAAGAGCAGTGCGATTTCCATAAATGTACGTACATATATATAAGAAAAGCAGAGAGCTCCCCAATCTACATTCAGTATTAAGTTACACTGCTGACAAGATGCAAAACTCAGTTCTATTCCTCGCCTTATTGGTCTGCCTTGCGCCTTTTGGCGCGATATCTGCGGAGAATTTGACAATTTACCTGGAGGACTATATAATTCAGAACCAGAGACAAAATGATGCTAGACTGGCTCAGATTGAGAATGAATTGGACACAGTTCGATCCATCTTCGCCAGCGGACTGCGCGCAATCAGCATCCAGGGCGATCAGATGGAGCTCAAGCTGGAGGAGGTGAAAGCGCGTCTAGATCCAATCGAGTTAATCGACTCGTGGCACAAGCAATGCGTGCAAAACTACAGCGGAACCATTCCCTCAATAACCAGCAAATTAGTGTTGATATTTCCGCTTTTTTTCTCGTCAAATCTGGCATTGTTTTTTTTTTTAATTTGAATGCGGAAAGAATTGAATGCAGCGGCAAGCGTGAAATCTAGCTTTTTAAGCGCTAGAAAAATGACAGCACTGACGCAAATACAGCTGACCAGGCATCATCTCGCTCTAACTTACATAGTATTCGCATGTTATACACATGCATACACCAGTTTGTATATGTATTAAGAGCATAGCTCACAAATAACTGTTGAACATTTCGCAAATGCTGTAAATAATTCCCTTTCACTCACACTTTTGCGTCGGCTCGTAAGCGATCGGACAGAGACGTTTTTGTTGTGTTTTTGTTCCTTATTAGCATTTGACATCCAATTTAATAATCACTTTTAACTCCAGATCTCTACAGTCAACACGTATACCATAAGCAATCAGAAGAGCTTCAACACGTACATGCAGCAGGCAAAGTGTGCAGCGGACATACGCATCAACCAGGCCTGGGAGTGTGCCTTTACCTCGATCTATAACACAGTATCTGCAGTGAGCACGGCTGTGCGTCTCATCGATGATTGCATTTTTAATCAATTGGCCTGTGCCTCAGTGACCTGCACTACCGGCTGCAGCAATCACATGGTCATCAGCTTGAAGGAAAACGACTTCAATAACGAGACCATCAAGAATCCCTTCATCGGCTTGAATAGTAAACTTGGTTGCATCGAGATGAAGTTCAAGAATTAAGCATATGCAATATGTGAAGGTGGCTTGAGACATATCCTAACATATAATTTGTATATATGTACACATATATAACACTGTTCTGTTCAACAATTTTGCTATGCACAATAATAAAGTAATATCTCATTGAGAAAGCAAAGAAATGCTATATTATTTGAGCTAATGTCCTACAATTAGCTTTTCTATTAGACTGTTTTATTTCCTATAAGAATTTCTTCTAAGGATTTATTCTAAGTATTTCCTCTGCGAATTTCCTCTATCCATTTTTCAGAACGAATCAGCGAATTTCCTCTAAAAGTGTCCTCCAAGTCTTTAATGCTTAGCTAATCGATCACACACTTCACTTCAGTTTACTGAACTGCACGACTGACCCCCACCCGGTCTGGGTGACTGAAGAAATGCTGCAGCTGCTGCCCTTTATATAGGGCAACTTTCACTCAAAGCCTAGGTCGCGCTCAAATGTTGAGCCTGACGCCAGGTAGAGGGCGTTGCAGTCGACCAATGGGAACACTCTCTGCTTCGTCAAGCGCTTTGGCTTCGTATACCGAATGAATACTGCATACATATAGAGAGCTTAATGTGCGTAGTTCCCCTTCGTTCCTTGCTTAGAGAGGGAAACAAATAGAGCGACAGATTTACCGAGAGACATACGAGCAGATATATACATATATATGTAGGCATACAAACACGCATAGTTAGCTTATGTACATCAGCTGCGGCAGTTTCTTCTGCTCTATAGTTATCTTAAGGGATAAGCCTACTGCAGCAGACTTATTATCAATAGGCTAGACCACCTTCACTAGCCCGATCTAGGTTAAACTGGCAACACTGATTGCAGCCTCATGTGTGTGCATGAAATTATAATACTAATTATAAATCCATAATTTTTATTGGTCCGCCCTAATCTATTTTTATATGCACCACCCAGCAGAGACAAATTGTAAATCCCTATAATAACCGCGATTATCTGAGGCGCCATTGTCGCTAAATACTGAGAATTCATAAATGTAAGCCAGAGCATAAACCAACAGCAGATAAACATACATATACATATAGTATGTACAAATATATAGTCTATCAAATATACAATTAGGGCACACCTGAAAGTGTTTCAGCTGCAGCGGGCTAAAATGAATTTCGCTCTAATGAATCAGGTGGTTTCTTGCCATCTACGATTAGAGATAATTCCCAGTAGACTTAGTCCACATTAAGCTTCATTCTTCATGGTGTTCATGTTTATCTATATAATAACTGTATATATGCTTTTATTCATAATATGCACGCGCGTGTGATTTCTATCTATAAAGATCTTGATCTTGTTTCACCAGCTCGTAAGCTAGTTTTTCTAATTAATATAAAATCAATATTTATGTTTATCACCTGAATTCCAACTGAAATTAGGGTTGTTTTCCACAGGTAGCAATTATCTACTAGGTGAGCAGAAGGTATCAATGCAATGATATTTGAGCTAAGTCTTCAAAGAAGTTCCGTGAGATTACCTTCCTTCATGAATCAGGCGTTTGTAGCGTGGGAAACGAGCTGTAAACATAGCAAACCTGAGTGATTTTTGGGAACAGGTAAACAGCACCGTTCACATCTCGCTAAGACAATACCAATTTTGATCGTTTATATGCAAATGTAATCAGAAATGTTTGAATGAGCATCAATAATCTAATTAAATATATCAACAGGCGAACAGAATTTCCAGCACGTTGCTGCCAAGCAAGGATATTTACCTCATGCAGGTACTGATTTACCTGATAGATTAAAAACTACCACCATCTGTTTATTGCGAGGAGTTCGTTTCTTTTAAGAAAGTTAAAGGCGATTTCAACCCTCCTTCGAGGACATTGTGTAAACAAAAATGTCTTGGTGGTTACCAGGGCAACAGCAATTCCAGCAGCAGCTAAGGGTTCATTCGCAATCAACACCTGGCTGGCCTACCTGGCCACAAGCAACCACCTTTTTGGATTTCTTACAAGATGCAATCTACTGTGCAACGTCTTCGGTGGTATCAGGCGAACAGCTTTGCCAGTTGCTCGTTCAAGAAAAATCTCAAGAAGCCACAAAACCCAGGCAAAGAAGGGATGAAACTGTCTTCATCCGAATAGTCAATAAAAAAAAGTTGAAGCCGTATAAACAATGGCTTGGAATGCTAAGAGGGCTAGGTAGGAGCAAGCGATCACAGGTAAAATTTCTTCTTATACCCCGACTCCAGTGAGTGTAAGCAATAGGGTAGACTAGTTGAGTTCATGATAATGTGCAACAGGCAGAATGAGAAATCCTTATGAGGAAGACATAGTTTCTTGAGATTTTGAAGAGTTAATCCATCTTCGCTAATCAAAGGAAAAGAGTTGAGAATGTTTTGATCTATGACTTCTAAAAAGGCTGAATATATAATACTAATATAATAATTAAGTACATTTAAATAAATACATTCTTGAATATGCATGATAAGCTGTGCTGATCATCATCACTATTATCAGCATGTTGTCATCATTATGAATACTATTTGAAAATCATCATTATGAGCATTATTATAACATCATCAACATCATTACCTTCATTCTCTGAATATTACATTATCATCATTTTCATTGACGCTCATCTCTTCCATTATATTTATCAGCATCAACCCCATCTCAATTACGATTGCATGGTATCTCTTAGTCCGGCACTTTCAACATCTTCTGTTTTCTTCCTAATTATGATGGGCGTGTGAAAAAAAGAAAAAACAATTCAAAGATCAATGAAAGAAATAAAAAAGTAGAAATGTGTTTTCTCTCAGAGGTGCAGCAGGTAAGGATCTTAACAGATTGGTTCCCAGCCATGGGAACCATGAGAACTTTTTGGTTTCTGTGAGAATTTTTCGAAAATATCTCGAAATTCTGAACAGGCGAACAGATGAAATTGTACTGTGAAATTCCCACGCTGAAGATTCTTGAGCAGATCCTCGACGTGTTTGCTGGCCATGTTTAACGGAAATGGGCGGAATGTAACGGACTATTAAGAATGTCTGTGCGTGTGTGTGTGTAACGTTTGTTACCTTAGACAATGTTAAACCTAGGCCCAGCTGCAGTTACAAGATACAAAACTCACACGAAAATGAGCGTGAGAATTTTTCACGCCAAATGACGTTAGATTACCAGGTGAACAGCAGTCGACGTAGAGAGAGAGACAGAGAGTTTTTCTGGCATAGAATGTTTAGAGAATTTCAAGAATCTTAGCGCAGCTCAAATGTGTTTGTCAGCAACTGTCAAGTGCGGCTGTGGGCCTGTTAAATTGACAGCCAATTTGCGATCATCATTAGGAGCATTTAGGGACGATCTTGCTCGCTCACTTATGCTCCCTCTGTCTCTCTCTCTATCTCTCACTCCCTCTCTCTTTCAATATCACGCTGTCTTCGAGTAGGTCGTTCCGCTTCATGGAACAGCCCTGTTGATTGTCACGATAATTTCATGTTTTCGAGCAGGCATACAGAACTCAGCAGCAGCAAGCTCTCAAGTCAAATATAACTCGTTAGAGCGCACACACACACACACACACACACTCATTCACACACTTGCCAAGAAGAAGACCCTAATAGACGCTGCATGCGTGGAGTGTGTATTAAATTACATTCAATTGATTTTCTCTCACAAAGCCTTTGTTCATTTCATTATATTCTGAGCTCATGGATCGCGTAGAAAGTGGGGTATATTGGTTTCTTAGCGAATACACAAATTTTAAAATCTTTTAGCTTGAATGTAAATAGATTATGATAAGAATTGTAAAAAGTGAGTTATTCATATTAACAAAAAATATAATAATAATAGTAATATTGATAATTACCGTATACTTATAAATAAATATTATTTTCGTATTCATATCTTATCTTATCTTATTTTCAATTCAATTACATCAAACTATACCCTGGCATATTCAAATATGTTTACTATACCTCACAGGGTAACTGCTAGTCCGTCACTCTCAACATGCCTACACTGACTTCTGCATCTAATTAAAATAAACAACAAATCTGGATATTTGTGAACACGAAAAGAGTTAAGAACTGTAGCAAACGAATAGGAGAACAGGAATTGAGCTAGGCGAGCGAACGCTCAGAACTCATAATGCTCGATCTGAGAGCTGAGTGAGGCATTTCTTGCACGCAGGTAGCTGCGCTGATGCTGCTGCTGACCTGTTCGAAATCAATTAGGAAAGCAAACACAAAGATCATAAATCAAAGGTTTCAAAAAGAGCGCGAGAGAGAGAGGGAGATAATGAGACAGGGACTGACATAGGGACAGACAGCGGATTAGTGATGCAGACAATGGGATGTGGTTTCCAAATGTAATCAAGCTGAACGAATGCACAGGTGCCCAGAATCCTGCCATAAGGTGGGAGTTGTCGTTGAATTATCTAAATGTCTGTGACCTAAAGATTTAGAGATCTGAGTTGGCTAACCTGCTAGAAATTGCTGTTTGCCTATTCGATTGCACCAGTTTAAGCCTTTGACCCTTTCTGTTAATTGAATATTATTCAACACAATTTAAATAAGATTAACGATAATCGATTGAACACAATTTCAGAATCAATGAAGCGTGACCTCAGTGCAAAAACGAACAGGACGACAGCAATGCCAAGCAGTAAATGAAAATTTTGAAATTTTAAAAATTCTCTAAAATACAAACTCCGATACTAATCTCTACCCATAAAATCTCGACTCTAAGCCGGCTACCTGCAGCTGTCAGCTGCATTGATGCTTGTGTTGCATCCAGGTTTAGGCACAACAAGGTGGTCTGCTGGCTCAACTGTGTGACGTCACAATTTGTGTGCGCGTACATTAAAATAGATCAATTTAGTTTTCTAGTTTCCTCTTTTAAGAACCATTAAATTAAAGTTAAATTAAATTTATTTTTGAGCTATAGCAAAAGTATGGATCGACTGCGCGCCACAATTCAAATAGCATAGCAGAGCACAACAGTAACATATAAAACTGCTAACGGAAATTGTTAACTAATTTTAAAAGTAGAAGAAATGCTCTTTGAAGGGCCCATTGTGTGAACAGTCTCTTGTGCCTTTTAACAGTGCCAGGAAGAAGTGCTTTTTTAACAGTGGGAATGGTTTTAAATTCTGTTAAATAGCATTGCCATTATGAGTACATCCTATGTATCGGTTTCGCTGTCATCTCTATACTTGTCACTCAGTGCTGCCGGATTTTCGAAATTATGTAGTAGTTTGTAAACAAACTAAAGTTAAAATTAATTTTATTTAATTAAATTCACCGAAACAATGCGAATTAGCCGCCACTTTTCGCAATTGTGGGAGAAGCGCAACCCCACTGCCGGCCACCTAGGTACTTATTTCTTCTTTGCGCTGCTGCGTTTAGTCCTGGTGTTTGTGCCCCAGTTGGGCTATATACATCCAGATGAGTTTTTCCAGAGTGTCGAGGTGATGACGGGTAAGCGGAATTGCATAGAAAATGGAAGGCTAGTCATACCACAAAATTCATTCGCATAGGTGATCACTTCCGTTTGGAGCACACGCGCACCTGGGAGTTCAATAACTCAATGCCGGTGCGTAGCATCACGTTGCCCTGGATGCTGATGCGTGTGCCGTGGAGCTTCTACGAGTTCTTGGCATTGTACGTGCGTGACTGGTGGCAGGTGGAGCTGATTAATAGCTATGCGTTTTTGGTATTTCCCCGCCTCATCTACACGCTCATCTCGTATAGCAACGATTGGTGTTTGTATCGCATTTGCCGACTCTACGGGCTGCGTCATGAGATCCGGTTGCTGGCGCTGGGCAGCAGTTGGGTGCTGCTGGTGTTCGGCACACGCACTTTTTCCAACACTCTTGAGCTGGCCATGTGCTCCTGGCTGCTCTGTCTGGTGGCCGAGTGCATGTTAAAGACAAACACCATCGTCTACAAGAAGGAGTACCTCGAGGAGAAGTACGACAAGGCAGCGTCGATCAGTGAGCGTGTCAAGATCTGGAAGTTGAAGAACTCGCTACCCGCACACAATCTGCAGCATCTGTTCGCTATGTCCAGCATCTGTGTGGCTGGCGTCTTCAATCGTCCCACTTTCCTGCTCTTCGGAGCGCCGATGGTCTTCTTCTGGCTGCTGCGCGGCATGGGAACGCGCAGCGTCAGCTTTCGGGACTTTAATCTGCGCATTGGACTCTTCTGCCTGTGCGCCCTGCCGGCTCTGCTGCTGTTCATCTTCTGCGACTCGCTCTACTATAAGCACCTGACCGTGGGCGAGCTGCACATGCTGCAGGTGGGCATCGACAATTTCGTATTCACGCCGTGGAACTTCATCAAGTACAACCTGGACCCGTCGCACACGGCCACGCACGGCGTGCATCCGTGCTATGTCCATTTGCTGGTCAATGTGCCGATGCTCTTCAATATACTCGGACTCACTGCTCTGGTGGCCTTTGCCCAGCTGCTGCTGCGCTTTTTCTGTGCCGAGTATCAGCTTCTGCCGCGCTTCCAGAGCATTGTGTCGCTGATGTCGGGTGCGATATTTGTGCCGCTCTTCTTCCTCTCGCTCATCAATCATCAGGAGCCGCGCTTTTTGCTGCCGCTGACATTTCCACTGCTGCTGCTGCATGCGCCGAAGCTCATCACCGGATTCAGTGCCACATATCCGTTCCAGACGCAGCATCCGATGCTGCGCTGGCTCTACGATAATGTCCTCTGTAGCCGAGCCTCGGCGCCGCATCTGCTGCGCATTTGGTATGTGTGCAATGTGGTGTTCACGGTCTTCTTTGGATTCATACATCAGGCGGGCATCTTTCCGCTGGCCCAGCGCATGGCGCATGTGGTGGCCACAAAGCCGATGGCCACCCATGTCCATCTGCTTACCTCGCACACGTACAGCCTGCCGCTGCATCTGGTCAATGTTCCAAGCTCCAGGGAGCTGCACTTCAATCCACAGACACATCAACGCTATCGACGCCCGCGCGACTTCTATCTGTATGAATACGGCGGCCTGCCAATGAAGAGCCTTCTGGACAAGGTGAAGCTCATTGCGGGCAACTGCGAACTGAAGCGCAACGGCGCCACGCGACTGCGCTACAAGATGTACCTGGCCATACCGGCGCCGCTCAGCGACGAACTGCACGAGGCGCTGCAGCGCTCCAATGCCAGCAGCTATCTGCATTTCGAGCTGCTCTCCGTACTCTATCCGCATCTGTCCACGGAGGCGTTTCCCCGTCTGCGGGGCCGACATCCCTGCGATGTGGATGCGCCACATTGGTCGCACGATGATCTGCGCGGCACCTGCGACGTGGAGCAGCCTCCCACGCTAAGCTTCGCCTACCTCAGCCGTCAGTTCAGCTCGTTTGTGCATCAGTTTGGACTGGCGCTCTACGAGATCGATGTGCGGCGCAAGCAGACGCGGGCACTCACGCACACAATCGATGTGAACACGACGCCTCTACCCGAGTCCACGGCGTAATTGTGGGCAGGGGGCGTGGCCATGCCATAACTGTCGCATGAGTGTCTTAAACCAAAGCATAAGCTAAGCATTCAACTAAATTCTTGTTGGCATCAACTATTTGTAACTCTAGTCACGAAAGGCATCATTTTTATAACAATTTTTCACACATACACATGCAAAAGCTAAAAAGATAAAATTAACCAAATACAAAGACATTCTATACGCATAACATTCCTGCTTGCAAACACAAACTACAACTAAGACGAAATTCTAAATTATTACTTGAAAACTATTAAAAATAAAACCTTTGTCGATCTCATATAAAATTTGTAATATATATTATATTTTTATTAAATTTTCATTTTAATTTTTTTGATAAAGATTAAATTAGTTGCGTTGAGTATTAAAAAA